ATTTGCAATTGTTAGTAATACGATGTAAACTCTCTATCTGGCAAACCACCCTCTTGTAATCGGGTAGATTTATATTACCATCGATATCGCAATATGACTTAAGATTAAGCCTTGTAGTAACAGCATTTGAGTAAGAGTGGCGTGTGGATAATACTAGCAAATTTACATTATTAGGAATAGCCAATTTTTCAAGAATATAGGTTTTTCCTGTTTTCCAAGGTGACCCTACATAAATATCACCTTTATTAGGTAATGGTTTTACATATCTCTCCTTATATATTTCTGTAGCCATAAGGGTCTCAATACATTTGACCCAAGATGGTATTTTTACAAAAGCTCTTGAGAAGGCCAGGTCTTTTATCTTGCGAGAAGGTTGTGGTAAATTTTTATTTTTTTGCAGAATTTTTTCTGCAATAGATGGGTTGCATTCAAATATATCCCCAGGTTCACCACTACCTTGCCAGAAACATTTTATGATGAACGTTCTACTACTAGCGCATACACGACCAAACCACCTCTGATCCTTGTCATGTATGCGTTTGCAAAGTGGGCATTCTAGTGGGGCTTTTCGGTTAAAATATACGAAGTTTTCTGAATCTTTTTCTTTGATAATCCAATCCCTAAGATAGTTAGGATACTTCTGCAAAACTATGTCCGCGCATTTTTGTAATATATCATGACCTACGATTATCTTTAGCTGACTATTATTTTTTTTTACACTAAGCATATGAGGTCTTACTTCAAGACCTAAGCTAGTAGGCAGTTGAACTCTAGTATAATCGAGCTCATTCCAGCCATTATCTAGTAAAAACTGAAGGATATGCTTTATGCGACCTTTTTTTGCTGAACCAATAAGGCAAAGGTTGAAGTTGTGACCAGGTAATTTCTGATCAATGAACTTGCTGAATTTTTTCCCAGTTAAGGTATATACTAATTCTAAGAATGCTTTGAGTTCGTGATGGTCAATAAGGAGAGCCGGTGCATATAAAATATGGTAGCTACACTTGCTAGAATCTGAAGATGTAGCAATAACTAACCTATTGAGAATATTTTTCCAACTACAGTCGAGAATTCAATACAAGGCTCTTATGAAAGATAGGCAGATTTGAATGAATACTTCTTGCGTCTTAACACTAGTTGTTTCCATATCTTCCTGCAAAGCATCTATATCAATTATGGCTCTTAAAGGTTTTTGACCGTTAATACATTCATGAATCCCAGGCAAACCATATACTTCAGAAATATCATCTGCAACAGAAAACTTCGGGGCTCGATCGTCTTGATCGATTTTGATAACCAATTTATTTTCAACTTCATCCCGGTCATAAGTGTTATATAGGCTAGGGCCTTTTTCATTTGGAAAGAGGAATGAATAGATTGGAAGGCAATCTAATGAGCCTTTATCATTTGACATATCTCTAGGTGGTGATGAAAGAATTTCCCCAAATACTATTTAGCAAGTCCTTGGGAGTAAAATTATTATTGAACTTTTCTTGTCTTAAAGTGTATATCGCATTAGCCTTTTGCTCTTCTACATTTGGTAGCCGAACTGATGGAGACTTGGTAATGCTGGTTGAGATGCAGTGAGCTTCTTCATTATCTGACTCATAATTAGACTCGTAGTTATTATAATCATCTGATTCTAATTCAGATCCATTATCAGTACAACTACTTGAGTCACTTAAATATTCATTGGTCTCGGCGCCGTCATAGCGGGCGAGGGAGCCAGTTCCAGTACGATCAGTTTGGTCAGAAATAGTTGTGGTATACATGTTGTTAGTAAGTAAGTAAAACTTTATATACTTCAATATATTTTTGAAATGTTTAAAATATTTTTTTTTCGAAGAATACAAAAAAATGTATAGCAAACTTGGATTGCAAGTCGTAAAAGAAAGACATCCAGATATATCAAAATGTGTAGGCTTCTTCGGAATCTTTATATAAAATATTGGAAGAAGTCTACACTTTTTTAGGTATGTACTCGGATATGTTGGAGGCATATAGGCACAAATAAATATATTTAATAATACTTGGGGTATTCTTCTACATAATCTTTATATAAAATATTGGCAGAAGAATACCCACTAGTATGTACCCGGGCATATGTGGACACTTAGGGAAGGTAACTGCGTACTCTATTATAAAAAATATTGGCAGAAGCCTTCACTTTCCTAGATATGTACTTGGGTATGGTAAAGGCTTCTTTGGCACAAATTCTATACTCTGATAGATACAAAAAAAAAGCGATAGCAAACTTAGTTAGAAAACATAAAAGAACGGCAACTGGCCATGTATCCAAAAGTGTAGGCCTCTTCAGAATCTTTATATAAAATATTGGAAGAAGCCTACACTTTTTCAGATATGTACTCGGGTATGAGGTAACTTCGGAAGTGCTTAGGAATAGCAATACATAGCCAGTACAGTAGGCGCAGTAAATTTGGTCAATTATAGCCAGCACTATTCATAATTTTGGCCAGATCTTTGGATATAATGATTCAGCACCTAAGCTAGCATAAAACTGAATCAGAATTGGCAAACTAATAGAACTACTCTAATTCCCTGCCAATTCCATAACAGTTTCATGGTGCCAAACTGGGTTCTCAAATTATATGCTCTAAAGATCAGTCAGAATTATGCTATAATGCCGACCAAAATTAATCATGAATTTACTGCGCCACCCATTACCTCTTTTTTTACACTATTTCAACATCTTGAAAGGCAACCAAATAGGTGCAAAAAGATAAGTACCTCAATATAGAATTCGGCACCCAAACAGGTACAGAGGGGTGATATCATTAGTATAAATTTTAGGATCCAAAGAGGCACAGATAACCCACATCCTTAATATAAAACTTACTAGCTAAATGGATACAGAGGGCCGGTATTCTCAATGTAAAATCCAGCTTCTAAACAGGTGTAGAGAGTCAACACTCTCAATATAGATATCAGTAAGAAAATATGCCAAAAACAAGAAGAAAGCAATTACTACTAGATCATGATATCACCATTAGTTTAAAGTAATACCAGTTACTACTAGATTATGAAATTAGAATTGACAAAAATTTAAATATATGGAAAACAATTAAAACAATATCTAGAACCCAAAAGATATCTCAAAAATAAATCGGGAGATCACGAGGTCACTATTAGATTATGATATTAGATTATAAGGCCACTATTAAATTATGTCACTAGATTATAGCATTACTACTAGACTATAATGTCTCTATTAGACTATAATGTTCCCATTAGACTATAATATCTCTATTAGACTATAGTGTCCCGACATAATCTAACCTAAGTCGCTGGTGATTCTTAGATATAATTATATCTAAGAATCACTAGTGACTGCTTCATAGAAAATTTTCTGACTAACAAATGCCAGATCTGATATTAATCTACGTAACTTTCGTTCTTCACCTACCTGTCTAACTAAATCTATATTCACTCATTTTCTTATATCTTCCATAGTTTTTTCAAATACTGAGTTATTCATTAATTTCCAGAAATCTTTTTCAAAGGCATTCTTTGCTTTTGCATGTCATTGAGTATTTATTGCAATGTATGGTTCCAACTATGATAATTGTTCAAAACCTAGAATTCGATATACTTTTTCAAGAACATATCCTTTCTTTATACATTGTTGTAGATTTCTATAATGAATAACATAATGGTCCTTATTATGGAGAGTTAGTATAAGTTTTTCTGTATCTGAATGTTGCTTCCCTAACCATTCTTTTTGTTTTGAACTATACCAATCATATGGTACTTTCATTCATTCTGGACACATAGGATAGTTCTGAAACTTTGGATATAATTCTTTTGGAATTGATAACTTAACCTCTAAACAACATCCTTGATTTGATTTTTCTTTTAATCTTAAAATTTTCTGCACTAATAAATGAGTTGCTTCTAGTGGATGAGTAGATAGCTATTTAAATCTACTGGTTGGTAAATGTTGAGACATTGCCCAGCCATAAAGATTATTTGCATCTAAGTAGAGCAACCATTTTTTTGCCTTTTTTCCATTATACCCTTCTAATCCTAGAATATTAGCTCTAGCTATATGTCATCTAGCCAAAGACATTCCACCTCTTTTCATGGCTGTAAAGAAATCGTGCATATCCCCTTGATGCTCATTAAATAATTCTAGCTTAACTTTTGTTACTTTCATACAAGCATCTCATGCTAAACCTAGTGCGGTTAAATAATTTGCTAGGTCAAGCTTGAATGCTAAATATGAGGCTTTACAGAATGCTTCGAATGCATCTGCTAAAATTAATACATCAGTGTTAAGATAGATATCATGATAATCTCCAAAAGTCTTGCATTCTGTTTCTCACCAGACCATATGTGCAAAATTATAATTCTTTTGAGATATGGTATAAATTTTTTCGTGTTCACATTCTTTATTTTCTTCACATTCATTGCAATTACCTAGTTTTTTTTTATGCTTATATTTCTGACATTTATATTTGCATTTCCCTATCTTCTCTCCATGCTCACATTTTTCTATTCTACAATTATGATCACAATAATTAAACTCATCTAAATCACTATTAAAATCTTTACGTGGTGGAAGCTGTGTCTCATTAAATTTTGTTTTATTATTTAACCATTAATATGGAAAAATTTCTTTATGCATAAGCAATAATAACAAATGAGATGAGATAAATTTTGGCATAATTAGAAAACATTTGGCTAGTTGTTCTGGTGTTTTGTTTTCCCCCTTTTTTTTATCTCGTAAATTTTCTGCCATCTTAGCTAAACCCGGTAACAAAAATTTCATACTATCTATAAATTGAAGTTGCCCGACTGAGAAAGTGATATATTGTTCAGAATTATTTGCTATGGCACTATTTTTTTATCTGTCACTTTAGCTATTTCTTGTATAAGATGATGAAAATCATAGCCACTTCCATTACAAAATAATACCAGAATTTTTATTGTTTCTGAATCGATTTGTAATTTTAAATTACATCCACTATGAGCTGGTCCTCTAAACCTTCCTGTAATATGGTCATGATCTATTACTCTATTTTTTTCCTCGTCTTGTAAATGCATTTTGCAATACAAACATACCTTACAAGGTTTATGTTTTTCTTTTTGCTCATCATCTAACTTACCTTGAATCATTAATTTTTTCTGTGACATTTTCTATGCGAAGCACCTAAATATTTTTTGGTTTTAAAATCGAATACACGAATTTTATTATATTCAGCTTCATGTAATTTTTTTTCACATATCCAACATTTGTTTGCAGTTTGATATTTTCAGCATAATTCAGGTGTCATTTTTTCACATGGAGCTATTTCACGAAGCTTATCTAAAATAACTTCTAGATCTTCTTGAAG